CTTCTGTACACACCCTTCTGTACACACCCTTCTGTACACACCCTTCTGTGGGTTGAACTGTTCTTATTAGGCTAAGTTGGGAGGGGCACAAAGGCATGAGGTGCTGGGTCCTCACCACAATTTGAAGTTCAATTCTGAGTTAATTTGCTTTGTGAACTTAGACAAATTACTTTCCCTCTCTGGGCCCTCTTTCAACCCCTCCAGGGTTGCTGTGTGATTGTCTCTCCTCTGTAGCCCATTGGAAATTCTCTCCCAAGCAGCAACAGGTCACCCTGTCCTCCACCCCTTAGTGATTATGCTATTCTCCAGGGTTGGGGATGCTGAATGTCTTATACTTGGTGGTATTTTTAACTTCTTAGTGGAAAAAATCGCTGAGATGACGAGAGATTCTGAGTCATTCCATTCCTTGCCTGGCAAGGTTCAGAGCTGGTCCCTCAGGCCCCGTTCTGGGCCTGCTCTCAAGTTTGATTTCTGTGGAAGGCAGTTTCCATGGAAGGAGTGGCCTCTGCCACAGCTGTCCCCACTCCTTTTTTATCAGGGTATCTTTGGCTGATCCTTCATATATTTTATTGCACAAAGAGGTGATCAAGGAATTACTGTTCGTAGTGCTCATATCTTGCAATGTGTATCACCCTGGCCTTTCCCTTTCTGTGTATATATTGCAATATATAATATATGATAATATAAATGAGTTTGGATCAAAGCATGCGTTTTTTTAATGCATTATATTATGTCTTCAATGTTTTTCTAAAATTTTGAAATATTTATTTTTAAAGATTTATCTCATCTTTTCTTCATTTGACTTTTTTCATTTTTATCTTCTGTCTATGGATGTCTGGCTTACACCTATGGCTGTGTACCACATCCATGCAGTGCCTGCAGAGACTGCTCAGATGGACTGAGGAGTTACTGGAGTTACAGAGGGTTGGGAGCCAACATGTGAGGGCTGGGAGTCAAACCTGGGTCTTCTGGAAAAGCAGCCAGTGTTTGTAACCACTGAAAACTTGAAGTTTTTTGTTTTGTTTTGTTTTGTTTTTTGTTTCTGAGACACTGTCTCATTGTATAGCTCTGGCTGGCTTCGGATGCTCTATAAAGACCAGGCTGGCTTCTATTTTCCAAGGTCTGAGCTTAAAGGCGAGCACCCTGCACTTTTATTTTTAGTAGATACAGAATAATCAGACATAGTTGTGGGAACATGTAATGTTTTGATACACATTTACATCATGTAATGTGAAACAAAATTTTTCCAGGCCACTGCGTTATGTGTTAGTGTTGGAGAGTTCTGCATTCTCAGCACTTTGCTTTAAAAAAATATTATGGATTATATTGAAAAAAAAATTTTTTTGAGACAAGATCTTCTCTGTACCAGCCTCAAAGTTGAGGCACCCATCCTTCTGGGCTTCCTGAGTGTTAGGGTTACAAGTGTGGTGCCATTCCCAGCACATTGTGATACTCTGGGTTGCTCTGACTGAGTTCCAGGGTCCGTGAGTCACTAACCCTTCCTTCTACCTGCAGAACCCAGGACCACTCCGGCAGGGATCCTCTGGAACTCCACACAGGTGAGCTTGCCCCCAGAAAGGACCAGGGCATGCACTGCCCCAAGTCAGTGCTAGCTGGGCCTTCCAGAGATGTGGCTGGTTCCCTGTCCCCAGAAGCTGTAAAGTGCCATCTGCCTGGCTCTGGTGGCTACTGTTTCATCCCGATGTCTTTGGATACCACTGACAGCTTAGTCTGAGACCAGATTCAATTTATTTTAGCCCTCCCCTGTGGCAGCCTGGTATCATGAAGTATTGGAAAGCGGATTACAGCTGAAGCTGCTTAACAAATTCTTTTACTAATCCAATTTCCCACTCATCTCTATCTCTTCCTGTGGTCCTTAATTCCCTCAACAAGAAGCTGCAGTCTTTGTTCCTCTGCCCCCAAAGCACAAAGAAGGAAGCAGGGGTCTGGACCTCACACACGCTACCCAGGGCTGTCTTAGAAGGGATGTCCTCAGGGGGATGTCCTTATGGGGTTTTCTGGTGTCTTCATAGGCAAAAGCAGATGAGTCCTTGCCTCTCAGGCCAGAGAGTTCTAGGTAGGTCCTAGGGGATCTGACACTAGCTGTGACTGGCCACCCATTCCACTGTGTGGGTGAAATCTCTCAGATCTAGAAGCAGGACGTAAGTCCATCTGGACTCAGAAATCTGTCCATCATATAGCTGGCTAATGCAAAGTGCAGATGAGGTGCTAGGACCGGCTTTTCCCAGGAGGCTACCGCCGCACTGGGCAACAGACCTCATGGACAGCCACTGTGTTTACTGAGCACATCCTGTGTGCCTTTGGCAGAGACATGGGTGGAAAGAACTCCACCTGGCACAGGGAAAGTGAGCACACAAATGACACCAGTGACAGATAGGCAGTCAATGAAGGTCGGGCACAGGGAGGTTCAGCACACGGAAAGGGGATGGTAGCTTTGTGGAGGACATGTAGAAGTCCCTATGAAGGCTGGATAGGCTGGTGATGAGGGTCATCTCTCCTAGGTCTCTGTTGAAGACCATGACAACCGTGAGGATCAGTACAGAAGTTCTACAGAAGCAACAAGTGTACTCGGTAAGCCCTAGTGTCTTGGTATTCCTGCAGAAAAGCTCTCACGTGAACACTTAGCAGCCAATCAGAGGCAACGATCTTCTATTGCTCTGTATACGTCTTCACAGTACCGGAGACTGAACCTAGATCCTCTAACATGCTAGGCAAACGTGCCATCAGTGAGCTATAGCACCAGCTTGCCTTTCATGGCTCCATATGCTGTTTGCCAAGATCCGATGAGGTCCATGGAAGAGTAGGACAGAGACTGAGTAGACTGTGAGCATCGTTGCTGGAGACCGAAATGGAGTGTCTGTGGAGGGAAGCCTATTTGCAGAGTTGCACGGGCTCAGCCAAGAGCCTTCGGCCTTGGCCTCTCTCTAGTAATTATGCAGGAAAGGGGCTCAGGAAAGGTAGACAGAACACTCTGGCCAGGAAGGGAGATCTGTGGGGAGTCCTGCAGGAGAAGGGGCATGGCATATCTGTGGCTTGACTGCCAAGTTGAGAATAGGCAAGAGGTGACATCCCAGGGGAGAAATTGCTTCCAAATACTTGTTGAAAGCCCTGAGTCTCCGTGATTCGGTCCCAGGGACCACCACAGAATCCTAGGAGCCTCCGTCTCTAATGTGCCTTCTGCCTGGAGCCAGGGTAGGATATATGGAAAGCTACTCTAAGAGTGAATAGCCCTTTGGCTGGCTGCAGCGGGCATCCAATCTCATAGGAGCCTTTGAATGGTGCAGCCTCCCTCAGTCACAGTGAGAGGAGTCCATGCAGTGCCTCTTCAGAGTTCCGCTGCCATCCAGAGCTGCGTCTGCTTCTAGTATCTGGTGCCTGACTTTTTTCTCCCTCTTTCCTTCCTTCTGTCCTGCCCCTTCCCCCTCTTCCATTCCCCTCCCCTGCTCATAGCCCCAGTGCAAGAATCCTCATCTGTATCCCTGCCCACATTCCTGGTAGCTGGAGGAAGCCTGGCATTTGGGTTGCTCCTCTGTGTCTTCATCATCTTGAGGTGAGATGGGTCCTGGGGTTCTTGGCTGCACTCTTGTGTCTTAGCTTTCATCTGTCTAAGTGGGGAGGGGCTGAACCTAAGGAGCTTCACCCATTCACTGCTTCATTGAGCAAATGAATACGTAACACACTGAGTCCTGGGTCAGGTGCTGCAGGAGGCCAGGGGACGGGACGGGGACTGTCTTGTGAGGAAGTCAATCCCTGACAAGGAAGGGCTGACGTGGGCAGAGCCACAGTAGCACAGCCATGGTGAGGAGGAAGAGCAGGACCTTGGCAGAGACTTCTAGCTCCTGAGGCCCTCACATTCACTGGCCCTGAGCTGGCTTGACAACAAACACATAGAACCACATCAGTCTGTGCTCAGCTCAGGGCTGTTCTTGTTCTGATCCTTCCCTCCTCTCCTTATTTTCAGTGCTAGAGTTCAAATCCAGGGCTGGGAAGGAGCTCTGGCATTGAGCTATGTCCCTGGCCCCAAATTATGAATCTCTTGTGAAGGAATGAAGGGGAAACTAAAGCTCAAAGAGACAGTGCAGATGCACCTAGTAAGGAGCACAGGACCCCAAGCCTGGTTCATGGGATGGGGCCTTAAGGGTCATGCAGTCAAAATCTTTAATCAACCAATAAGGAAATGGCCCTTAATGGCTGTCCAAGGGGCCAGGGCTACACGACATGCCCTATAGACACTAGCCCACGGACCAAGTCTACACAGGCTGAGGTAACCCAATTGGCCCTACAAGGCACTTAGGTGTGCTAATAGAGAGGCTTTAGAGACTAGTTTGCGTGCCCGTTGCTTAGGCTCCAACACTGGCTGCTGCCAGCCCCCGTGGTCCCTGAGGCACTGACAGGGGAAGTAGGTGCCTGTGCTAAGAACATACCAGCAACTCATTTCCTACCTGTTGAGTTTCTACTTTATGCCATATAAGGCAGATTTATTAGTAAAAGAGACCAGTTTGCTTGTTTTAGTTTTGTTTTGTTGAGAGTCTTAGTATGAAGCCCAGGCTGGTTTCAAATTCTTCATCCTCCTGTCTCCACTTCCAAAATGTTGGGATTATAGGCGGATGACACTTGCCTGATAAAACTAGTAATTTCAAGTGGGGTCTGGTGGCACATGCCTTTGGTCCCAGTGCTCAGGAAGTAGAGGCAGACAAGTCTCTGAGTTCAAGGCCAGCCTTGTCTACAAAGTGAGTTCCAGAATAGCCAGGGCTACAAAGAGAAACTCTGTTGTCTCAGCACCCCCCCCAAATAAAACAAAACAACCTAGTAATTTCAAGTAATGAAAACTTCCTCCATATTTTAAGGCTCCCTAACAAGAAAAGACTGTCACTTAGAGACACTGTGGAGTCAGGAAGTTAGAAGCTGGCTGAGCCACAGTGACTGGGTTGCAAGTCTGGTAGGCATTTGATATTTTGCCAGTCAGGATAGCATAATTTTAGAACATTTAGTTTATCTCCCGAGCTAAATATTTTTCTAAATATTTCTCTAGTGATGTTAGAGAAAATGAAAACAACTAAAATATACTACCAACAAAAGTTTACCCTTTCTTAGATGGAGGTCACATCCGACAGGGATCAGTTCTTCCGAAACTGAGAAAATAAGACTCTGCTAACAAAATTATTTTTCTGCACATTTTCCTAGAATGGACTTAAACCATTAGCTGTATACCTACAGCTTAAAACGCATTCATAAAAGCCAAGTGTAGTGGCATGTGACAATAGTCCTAGCCCTGGAGTGGCTGAGGCAGGAGGAACTCTAGTCCAGGATGATCTGCATAGTGAGTTTGACAGGGCCACCTAATGAGATCCTAACCCCAACAAACAGATGAAAATAAACAAACAAAACAAACACAGACAACGTCATTTTGAACTAGTTACAATGTCTCATTCCAGTATTTCTTAAATTGCTGCTGGGTGTGATAGAATCCTACGGCAGCAGGAACACTGTGAGCTTAAGGCCCGCAGGAGCTACAGAGTGAGACCCAGTCCTCCCGAATAAAAGATCTCACATTGTTTCAGGTTAGTTAATGGTTTTGTGTTGGGCTGTATTCGTAGCTGTCCAGGGGAGCATGCTGCCCATAGACTGCAAATTGGACACATCTATTGGCCACACCCAGGCCTCTAGGTCCTGCGCATCTGTGCCCATGCTAGGTGTGAGTATCTTTAACTGGTTTAGTGATTTTCAGGAAGAATGTTTCAAAAGGAAAGCACGGTTCTCTTGCTTATCCTTTGTCTCACTTACTGTTCTATTACTGGGAGAAAACACCATGATCAGGACAACTTATAAAAGAAAGAATTTAACTAGGGGCTTGCTTACAGTTCAGAGGTTTAGTCTAGGATCTGTGTGTGCTGTCTGCTGTTACTCGCCACAGTTGTTCTGCATATATAACTCTAAATTCTGGGCTGGAGAGATGGCTCAGCAGTTAGGAGCACTTACTCTCCTTTCATAGGATCTGAGCTGATTCTCGGCACCTGCATCGGGCGGCTTATATCACTGCAACTCCAGCAGCAGGGGACTCAATACCTTTTTGGATACTTGCATTTACAAGTACATACCCACACTCAGGTACACATACCTATGATTAAAAATAATAATAAAAACCCTCTAACCCTATCTTTTAAAAAATATTTTCACTTTGTAAATATTTTCACATTCTTTGTAAATGTCACATTCGTTAGCATAGGGTTCTCTTGTAAGGACAGATACCCAGGTTAACTGTTGTCAGGCACTGGAAGATGTTTTGCTTTTACAAAACAAGACTGTGCTGGACATCTTTGTGCCTAAAGTTCTTCCATGTTTATGTTATTGTTTTAGTCACTATTCTGTTGCTGTGAAGATGTCATGACCACATCACCACCACCTCTTAATCCTTCTAATCCTTTCAAATAATACAACTCCCTGGTGACTAAGCATTCAAATATATGAGTCTATGGGGGCCATTTTTATTCAGACCACCACAGTCATTTTTAGGGTCTATTTCCAGAACGTGAGTTCCTGGGTCAGAGGGTCTGAATGCTTTGCAGTCCATGGTGTAGCAGTGTGTCCTCAATCCTCTTATAGGGAGAATTCCACTCAGCGACTAAACACACTCCCTTTTGCAACTACTGGGCTCTCTTCCTGCAGCCAAGTAGCATTCTGGAGATTGTTTGCGTTGCTTGGATAACAGGCCAAGAGCCAACAGCAGATTCGGAGCCAGCTATCAATCATTTTATCATAGCAAGAACAGGAGTAGTCTGCTGCTTTCAAGCCCAAAAAATGCCCAAATCTTGTTTTTGACATTGACTTCCCCTCCCCCACCCTAGCCCTTCCTTAGGTAGTGGTGGGTGATGAGATTGGGGGGAGGGTCACCTTATCCCCACTTTGGAGTCAGTACATAGCAAGACAGTCATAAAGAAGGAAGTCAAACGAGGAGAGGAGGCCCTGGTTCAGCACACCTCGCCACGGGCCCCTTGGGAAGGAGCCCCTGTCATAACTTTGCAGATGTGTATCTGCGGCTCGGCTTTCTTCCAGCTGTCAGGTGACTCTTTCATGGTTGTTGAGCCTGGCCCTGGGCCCGACATTGCACGGAGGAGGCTGTGATGAGGGTGATGCCTATCTCTTCCTGCTTACCACTGACTTTCCTGTCAGATGAGTCAACACGTGCCCAGTGGTGCCCCCATCAGCACCTACAGTCTCTCCCTGCTGGGGTGGGGTGGGTGGAGATATCTGGATACCTGAGGATGGTAGTACTGACTATAGATCACAGGACAGAGTGCTGCTAGTGACCACAAAGCCTGTTCTCTGCTGTCCATTGCAGGTTGTGTGACCGATCTGCTCCTGCCAGCCTTAGTTGGACCGAGTTCTATATTCCTCCCCACTGAAAGAATAATCTCCTCTTGTGTGTGTGTGTGTGTGTGTATGTGTGTGGTGTGTGTGTGTATGTGTGTGTGTGAATGCATAGAGACCTGAAGATGTGAGCCCTGTAGGCAGCCTCTGGCCCAGGGCAGATGAGGGTGTGTCAGACGACTTTTTTGAAGTGCATAAAGGAACACTTTCATTTCTCTCCCTTTGTAAATGAGGTCAGTGAGATATGGTCTTGAGGTGATTTTGAAACTCACGAGCTCTTCAGAGTGTCATGGGACCTCTGGGGATGGTATGGGAACCAGAGAGTCTGCATTTCTGTAAGCCAAACCTAGGCACACCTAACCAACCGAGGCAGCCTGCTGCTACTAGTTAGGGTTTTTCACCATGCCTTTGGCCTGGAAGGAGTCTAAGGTCTGTGTGTTTGTTTTTGTATGTTTTTATAAAGACTCAAGAAGAAATGGAAGTCACAGGCTATGAAGGAAAGCAAGATGACTTCTCCTCCACCCCCACCATATTCCTTGGGACCCCTGAAGCCGACCTTTCTTCTGGTTCCTCTCCTCGCCCCATCAGGGTCCCATAACAGCTCTGGATCGGACAGCACCGTAAGCCACAGCTGTCTGGGTGTCAGGGACACACAGAGCCCTTATGACAACAGCAACAGAGACTACTTATTCCCCAGATAATCGTCTGGACGGTACCTGGCAGCTGGCTCGGCACCAGGAGATCAGCACACAAGTTTCTCACCACCAGTCCCATCTGCCTGGTTTGGGGGTGGGGCAGGCGGGGCTGCAGCTTCACTATCCCACAAGAGCTGGGCAAAGGCTCGGAGTGGGTGAAGACTGGTGTGCTGCCTAGGCTCCAAAGGAGGGGCTGTGAGGAACACAGGCCTTCATGAAGAGAGCCTGCGATGCCTTTGAATAGAGACGCCCGTCAGCTATGCACCTGATAGTGGCTCATAAGCTGTACCCTCAGGAAGCCTCAGGAAGGAGTGCCAAAGGCTGCCCCAGTTGCCTAGCTCTGACTCACTGCCCCAAGCCACCTTTTAACTTGAACTCGTAAAGTCCAACACTCTTTACCATTCTCTTTCTGAGGCCACTGAGGCCGGGAAGAAGCTTGATTCTACTTTCCTTCAAAACACCTGGAAAGCAGTCGGAGAAGCAGCTGACCCGGTGGTGGTGACTAAATATCTCAGGGCCTGATGGTTTACGCGGAATGACAATGAATTTCTCATAAGCAGTTTTTAAATGTGAATGATAATCCTAGGCACTGCTGACTGTGGAGGTTTTATTTTCTTCTTCGATCTCAGGACTTCAGGAGAGAAGCAGAACGGAAGCAGAGAGAGGATGGGTGTCCACTGTCCGTGTGGTACTCGACGGGGGATACAGCCTGGAAACCACGTTTCCTGTGCCCTTACTCTCCCAGAGGAGGAATGGTGGTGGGGGTGTCTCTCCCAGGGCAGAGAGTACAATTACTTTACCCCAGCTTTGTCCATACTGGTTTCAACTGGACTTGAGCTTCTAGGAAAGACGACATTCATGCAAAAAGAAAACTTTAGCTAGCAAGAATGCACTTTCATTTTGGTTTTTAGAGAACTCTTGAGTGTTTCTCTTGTGCTGTTGGAAGAGGCTGCTCACTGCATGCTGGTGTACGAGCCCTCACCTCCACCCCTGGAGGGCCAAGTGCAGCAACTTTAGCCCAAACGCCAAGTCAAGTGAAAATCAAGAAGAAGAAAAAAAAACAAAACACTGTTTCCTATAACAGAAAAGCCTTTGGTTTCATTTTGTATCTTGATTTTTTTTTTTGTCTTAAAAAGTGTAAAAATAGTCTGTCCGTACTTTGCTTCAGGGAATGAGCCTGTGAATACCCCCAGGCATAGGCAGGAAGGGTGTCTGCTTCCTGCTACACCTCAGCGTCACCTCGGCCTTCCTTGCTTTACTTTTGACTGAGTCGCCTCAGTTGCTTTTTCCTGGGGCTTTGAAGAATCCAGAGATGTTAGTGGTCACTGAGGAGACTGCAGAGCCACAGAGCCACAGAGCCACAGAGCCGTGCTGCCATTAAAGTGAGCTACGCAACTACAACACCCCACATCTGCCGTCCTACAGAACTATGCTAGTAGCTTGTCTTTTCAGAAAATATCACCATCACGAGATGGGGCAGAGCTTGGAAGCTGTCACCCTGTGCTATCTGCTTGCTATCTCCAAGGGGCCACTGACTTAAGCAGTTAGTTATTTTCTTTGCAGGTTTTGTACGTTTCAGGGTCTGTTGCTGTCTTAGAAAAAGCTCTGTAGGTTGACAAAAAAGAAATCAGGCAGGTATTCATGTTTATTTTTTCCTTCTTTCCTCCTTTGCTAAGTTTTTGGAACTCAAGGATAACAAAAATGCTGTGAAAGGGAAATATTAGAAATAGCGATCTTCAGGGGATAGGTGCCTGTGCCCACGCACAGTTCTTCAGTCCCTCACAGGGCTCTGCCTGCAAGCTGTTACCCAAACAAACCAGGCAGAGCGGAAGATTGAAATCCAGATAGCTCATTATCTCTGAAAGCTAAATAGCTTTGATCTCCAAGATGTTATTGCTTTCACTATTGTTGTTACAGGATAGCCTCCCCCAACCCCATATCAAAAGGATGCCTTTTCCTTTTGACAGTTTATAAGCTAAGTCAATGAAGTCTGTTTCGTCTGAGCTCCAGCTTCCTTCAGTTCACACAGGTGTATGCCCTCAGCTGCTCCTGGACTCAAATCTGTGCTAGCTGAATGGGTGTTCCATCTTGGGTCACTCTTACTGGAGTTTCTGTTGCCCACAGGCTGTCTTGTCAACAGTACCACTTAACACCAGCATTTGGCGACCAGATGCGGAGGGTTTAGACAGATGATCTAAACATGATCTTTGCTGCATGGTAGAAAGTGGGGAACACACACTGGTTCTAGTTCTAAAGTGACCTTTGGTTCTTCTGGCATAGTGAAATTTAAACTATTTCAAGGGAGAAGCCTTGGCCACACCTATGACATTTGGTGACAGTCCTTTCTCTCCATGAGCCTTGTCCTCGCACATTCTCACCTGGCTGAAAGCTCACACTGAATCTTTCCTATGTCCCTGGTGTCTTGGGAGAAAGGAAACTGGTGTGGGCTTTCCTGCTGGAATTGTCTTGGAGCCAGTGTGGAGTAGAGCCCAGCAGGGTGGGCCATGGTTAGTTATGGCGTGCCAGTTTAAGGAAGGCCTGGTCTGCCTGACTGCTTGGGTTCTGAGCTGCAGAATTTCCTAAGCAGTTCTTTATGGCTGACCTAGTTGGGGAAGATTCTCACACTCAACTGCAGGTGGAGGTGGTGAGGAACCTGTTTTCATTTGGAGGGGCAGGATCATCCTAAGAGCCTTTTCTGTGGTCCGGCCTACAGTGAGGGCTGGTGGGAAGAAGCAAGCCAGCTGGTTCAGGTTCTGGGGCTGGCGCTGGGGAGGGTCTGCCAAAGGTCTCTCCAGCTTCTAGTGCTAGTGTAGTTGGGTGCCAGTTCCAGGAAGTTTCTATGGCAACCTTAACGCTTATTAAGGAACGTTGTCAGTTTTGTGAACATATGCTCGGATGGAGATCTTGTTTTCAGGGAAAGGACTGGTACAGTGTGTAGCAAGCTGGAACAGACAGAGAGACTTTTTGGCAAGAGATCACATCCGTTAAACAGGATACCTCAATGCTACATGTTTTTGTCTCTGAGACAATATTTTTAAGGTTTTTACACTCTGTTACCTGTAAGCTGATACCTAAGACTTTCTGCAAAGTCAGTGTTTTTCAATGCTTTTTTTTTTTTTTGCCATTGTTTGCTTTAAAGTGAAATTTGTAACAGTTTGAAATAAACAATTTCTAAAACTACACTCGGGATGAACTGCTTTGGGAACCTTTTCATTAAAAGGAAAACATTCTGTGATTAGCGAGTGAGGAGTGAAGAATGAGGAAGGCTGACTAATTAATTTGAGGGCACAGTGGCTCTCTAACCCTGATACTAGGAAGGCAGAGGTGGGAGAATTTCCCCAAGTCTGAGGCTAGTGAGGCCTTGTATTTCACTTATACCACCCTCACAGACAGACAGACAGACAGACACGCATGCACGCATGTACGCACCTCTCAAAAACAGAACACACACACTAAACCTGGGAATAGCAATTTCTTAAAAGATTTTAGTTAATAAAAGTTTTCCCCAAACCAAGGCCTGGGATTTCTGGAAGGAGGCTCATGTGTCTGTCACGTTTACATCGGTCAGCATTACCAGATCGTGGGCATGATGGGAAAGACCAGGAAGGCCCACTACTTAGGTGTCTACTGGACTGTGGAGGTGATAATGGGATCCTGAGAGCCATCCTGAACTTTCTTGGTCATCAAATGGCTGAGTCTGTACCTCACTGAGAAAGATCTTGGGCAAGAAAAACCTGGGACCCAGCTTTCTTTATGTTCCAAACAGAAGGTAACTCATCATGTGGATGCTTTGCAGGTAAGAGTAAGGGTGGTTGTCAAGGTCCAGCCTCAGCTCGGTCTGGTTCTGAGAGAAGGGTGTCTGGGAGGAGCAAAAACAAACAGCTTGAAGGCAAATCGTGGGTACAAGCTGCAGCCTATGCTCTGCTGAGACAGCTTTCCAGACCTGTGCCTGTGCTCCCTCTCCCTTTCCC